AAAGAAACCCTTTTTAATACTTAATATGCCCAACGACTTCCTAACTATTTTTTAGAAATTGTAAGAGGCAATCATGCATACTTTTTCTTTTTTTTGAACATTTTTATCATGGGCCGATTAAAACTGTTGCTCTCAAGGAAGGAGAGGTGAATGTTACAAGAGTGATGGAGACTTAAACGTTTAGTGGGAAAAAAATAGTGTATATAACCCTTTACCCATAAATTTTAGATAGTTATGGTTATAATCATATAAATATTCAGTTTGACTCTTTGATTTTTTATATTTAAAAAATTAAAAATCAAATTAAGTTTATTAAAAATAAATAGAGAGAATAATAATTAATAACCCTATACTTGTTAATTAATAGAACAGCTTATACTCTTTAAAATCAATATATTTTCAAGTAAGCTAATCAAATAAACATAACAAAAAGTAAGCTAATTAAATATAAATTGATAAAATCAATTATGTTAGTTGCTTTAATTCAAAATTTTGTGCCTTTTAACATGGAAAAAATTACAACTATTCTTTTACAATAATAATTACTTCTTATAAGTGCATTAGAGAAACCCTTTTTAACACGTAATATGCCCAACAACCTCCTAACTAAACTACTAATATTCTCTAGAAATGGTAAAAGATCATCACACTTTAGAGTTCGGTGGAAAAAAATAGTGTATATAACCCCCTATACATAAATTTTAGATGTGATGGTTATACTCAGACAAGTAATTATTAATGTCATATGTATTTATTTTCATTGCTAAAATTTATTAATTAATAGAACAACTTATATTTATTTAAAATCAACTTATTTTCAAGTAAGCTAATTAAATACTTACAAACTAATAAAATCCATTACAAAAATACACTTATACTATTTTTATAACCATAACCATGGTGAATATTATGGATGCAGATTATAGAGGGCAGGAATTCGAAATTACCTGGAAACAAGTTGTCAGTTGTGACACAAAAAATTGAAGCAAAAATAAGGATGGCTACCTGAATAAGAACATATATAATATAACCCTAATGGTCCATGTCCCAAGCAAAAAATTGAAAGAAAAAAATCTCGTTAATACCGTAATTCCCATCCGACGAAATGGAGAGAAATCTACACCCCGTTTGAATGTTTTTCAACCACACAATGCTTCAATTCAATAAGATTATATATTGCATTACATACTAATGATTTATATTATTTATATTATTAAAATTTATTGAAAATCCTGCATATAGGCTCAACACAAGGCTTGCATCCAACCTAAAACCAATTGGCTATAGGTGGAGTAGCCTTCCTTGTATTTAACCCACAAGTTTCTTATTTTTATACTCGACGTGGGATTTTCCCACTTAACACGCCCCCTCACGTGCAGGCCTACTATGAATGTCGGGTCTTGTCACGTGGGTTACACCTCCTTTAAATACAGGCCTGGTAATAACTTCGGATCCTGTCAAATGGGCTAACACCGGCTTCTCAAGGCAGAACCTGGGCTCTGATACCATATTGAAAATCCTGCATGTAGGCTCAACACAAGGCTTGCAACCTCAGAAAGGATAGCAGTAGCAGTAGCAGGATGAGTTACAATCCTTTCAAAACTCGTCATATAATCAGTAAACTCACAATACTGGAAAACTCTAAAAATATGGAGAAATAGATGCCAAGATCGAAATAACAAACTAACAAAATACCTCAGAAAGGGTCTGAGAATCGAGGATAAACAATCCAATCTGTAAAATCCAACTCTAAAAAAACCCGACAATGATGATAAGAGAAAAGAACCAAGAGCTTATAACTCTAATACCATGTTGAAAATCTTGCATGTGGGCTTAACACAAAACTTGCATTCAACCTAAAACCAATTGGTTATAGGTGAAGTAGCCTTTTTTGTATTTAACCTACAAGTTTCTTATTTTTATACTCGATATGAGATTTTCCCACTTAACAAAATTAATAATTCTTATTACATATTGATAATTTATAACAAAATATATAATTTTAGGATATAAATATATATCATTGTCCATTTAACAATTACCTCAATCGCTCTCCTGCGAATTTTGGAGTAATCTTGAGGACATTATTGCAGTGGGTCCGGCGTGCAGTTATAATTTCTTCTGTATTTTTGGACTGTGAAGTCACACTTCGACATTCTCCTCCTATTGTGATTAATTGATAATCACTGTCAATTGTTAGTAAATTACACTTTTGATTAATATTCGAATTTCGAACCTTGTCAAAAAAAATAAATGCTAACTTAATTTTTAATCATTTTTTCCGTTTAAAAAAAAAAAAAAGTGAAGCGAACTTAAAGTGAAGACAAATTATTATCCTTAACGAGTCACGGATTGAGTATTACTCTCTCTCTACGTGTCAATACTAACTTTTTTTTTCTAGAATTTGTTTGACAATAATATTTATTTTTTATATTTTAAGAAAAATAAATTTTTTAAAT